CCATGGTTTGGACAGAGTTGCCCTGACCCGAGTCCTGTCTCCCAGCCCCAGGACTGGACCCCTCCATGCCCAATGCCCTCTACCACCCCTATCCAGATCCCCCTGCGCCTGAAGACATTGGAGCCCCCTGCATGACCAGGCAGAGAATGACCATGCAGAGAACTTCCTGGTGGTTCCCCTAACCCAGCTGTCCCCTCCTGGCTGCTATCAAATGTGCTTGGTCCCCACTCAGGACTGCCTGGCTCCCAGAACCCCTGAGGTCAGAGACTGGAAGAGCTTGAGGGGTGCTGGCCCCTCCTTCCTCCAGTGAGTCTCCTCAGTCAGGGAGGCTGCTGCCTGAGGACACTGCAGTCTCTCAGAAGGCCAGGCCATGTGCACAGGTCTGTGGCAGATATGGCTTTCTCTGTAAAAGCACCAGGCCTCACCAGGCCTCACTCGGAAGCACTGTGCCTAGGAAGGGCCCAGACCCTACTGTGACCTCTGAAGGAACCAGGCTACTCTGCAGGAGTCCGGTGGGTGGAGCACTGTGATGCATGGTCAGGTCCTGTCTGCCAGTCACTCATTCCTGGGTGTGACCTGCACAGAGAGCAGGACCGGCCCCCACGGGCCTCTGCCACCTACGCAGCCCACAAGGTGGGGGTCCAGGACTTCTTTCCACATTTTGCCCTTCCCTAGTTGTTCCTGGAAACATGGTGGGTAGAGCACTAGGGTAGGAGAGCAGACGAGATGGCTGAGTCACTGTGAAATGGTTCTGCGGCGTGTGCTTCACGAGCTGGGACACACACGGAAACCAGGGACCCGGATGGATGAGTCCCAGGCAGCCCCTTCCCCCGGACCTGTGTGTCAGGGTGCTGGTGCCACCCCACAGATGCAGCTTCTCTGTACCTCAGGTAAGTCCTGGCTGGAGTCAAAGGTGGCCTCGGGCCTGGAGCACTTCCAGAAAGATGGCCGGGTCTCAGGGAGCAGGTGAGGAGCACCAAGGGGTGGATGCCTCTCCCCGCTCGCTCAGTGCTGGTGTGTCCTGATGAGTCACGGTCCCGGTGCCCCACCGGTGCTGGCTGATTGGGAAACGGGGTCTGTCAGACACCCTGGGTCCACCAGGCATCCTCTGGCCCTGGTGACCAGGCCACGAGCTCAGCTGACTAAGTTGTGCTGTCTGCTCATCCGGTGTCCAAATGTGACCCCAGGGCTCCAGGGCCAAGCACCTCAGAAAGCTCTCCTGGGCCTTTAGCTGCCTGCCCTGTGCCCAAGGGAGGGGCCATGCTGGCAGTTGGGAGTGCGAGCTGGGGCCCCTTCTCACTGCCAACATGGCCAGATAGGGCCACAGGGCTCTGTCCAGCACAGCACTGCCATATCTAGCAAATGAAGATACAGGTGAAACTGGAATTTCCGCGAAACAAGGAATTACATTTTGTTATGTTTGTTCCTGACGTTATATGAGAAAAACTACCAGAAAAGTATTAATTATTTGAAGTTCGAATCCAATGGGGTATCCTGCATCTTCCAGGCCTCCCCGTGGACCCCCACTGCCCACTCAGGCCAGGGTCCCTCTTGGTTTAGGAGCGTCCTGTCCTGGACTCGACTGGGACCTGCTCAGAAATTTTCACAATCATTTCAAGGGAGGAAACAAGAAGAGCCATATGCTTAAAGGTTTTAACTTTCAGACCTTAAGCGGTCAGGCTTGTGGCCTGGAATAGGGGTTTTCTTTGACCATCTATTTCTTGGCCTGAACAGGACAGAGGCCCAGCAGTGCAGGCCTTGAGCATGGCACCCCCTGGAGCCTACTCTTAGTAACGCATGGACCTGACGCCCACTTCTGGTTCCTCAGAGCCTAGAGCCCAGGGGATCCCAGAAGGCACCCCACCAGTTCTTCTAGATTTACACTGCAGTTCCTGTCCCTTAAAGTTGTTGCACCACATCTGATTTGGCCATTTTCAGTGGGTCTTTCCAAGTCACTTTTCATCCAAAAGTCTTTTCATGTTCCTTACATGTCATGATGTTTGACCAAGTAATTTGATTAAAACAGGAAGTATGGCGGTGGGCTTGAGAACAAACATGATATTAGGAGACATCCCTTCCCCAGGGACCTAGGTCATTTCTTTCAGGGCTATGGAGACAGAAGTTCATGCTGGTTGGAGAGGAGGTGGTTGTCACTGTGTCCTGTGACTCAGCGGGGGCAGCAGGGTAGATGGCTGAAAGGGGCTCTGGCTCACTGGGTGAAGGGGGACAGCTGCTCTGCCCACTGTGTGTCCAGTCTGCACACTCCCTGGCCTTGCCCACTGAGCCAGGAACCCAGGAACTCAGCAGGGCAGGGGGGCATTGTTGCCTGCAGGGTGGGATGGAGGATGTGTCACTGAGTGCAGAGCTGGGGGACTGAGGTGGTGGTGAAGATTGCAGGCCTGTGCCCAGCAGGGCAGGAGGTGGAGGCAATGAGAGAGGCCCCAGTGCGGATGCAGGGCAGGAGGGGAGCTCTCCCAGCTTCACTGGAGGCTCTACAGAGGCCACACCATGGGAGCACCATGGACTTGTCCACAGCACATGAAGGCAGGTGACCATGGGGAGGAGGGACAGAAGCCACTGTGCTTTGGAGCCATGTCCTGAGGACCTGTGGTCTTGGGACTTTAAACCACAAGGAAATGTTTGTGCTCATGTTGGGACAGCTCATGTTGGATGAGCAGAAGCAGGTGTCCTGGAGCTCAGATGGGCAGGAAAGTTTCTAGAGCCCAGGCCTGCCAGCTGCCCCACCCAGTGACACAGCAGCCGGCCATGCCTGGTGTCCTGTGATGGCCAGAAGGGGGCGCCAGAGACCTCTGAATTGCCCAATGCTGAGGCTGCCTGCAATCACTTTTTCTCTGGGCCAGGGGAAGACACAGGATGACCACTGTCCACCAGAAGTGGCCCTGTGCACTGCAGTGTCTCCCATCCCACAAAAGTGGCCCTCCCCAGGCCACCAATGCATCCACAGTGTCCTGTGTGGGGCAGGGATGGGGCTGGGGGACAATGACAAAGGCTGGAGAGCAGTGACTGACCCCAGGCAGTAGGGACCAGCCAGGCTTCAGAGTACTCACTGGATAGGTGTCAAACCCAACAGTACCTGGGCCCACTCTGGCCCATTATGTTAGGAGGCTGAACAAATAGGTTATTTAAACTCACCCACGTGGTCCAAATGTGCACTCCGGTAAAGGCCAGAAACTGGCCCAGCTCACCATGCCAGAAAATGTGTTGGAAATGCAGATTCCTTGGCCCACTGGAGCTTTTGAGGCAGAACTCTGGGGAGTGGTAGAGATCTGCCTTATAGCACGTCCTCCAGGTGCTTCCGGTCCAGCTGAGGCTGAAACCCTGCCTGGCTTCACTGCCCAGGCCTGGATCCAGCCCTTGAATGAGAGCCTGAATTTTAACAGGAGCCCTGGTGATTCTTAAGGGTTGAGACGGTGGTGGGAGCCCTCACCAACATGGACACTTAACCCCCTGGGGCCTTTCTGCAGAGGGCAAGGGACAGACGGATGGACGAGTGGGGGTAAAGGTGCATCATCCAGGCAGGGACACCGGTGGAGAGAAAGTGCATGTTGGCCATGAGGGTCCTTGCAGTCCACTCAGCTGGGCAAGCAGTGAGCACTAACAGGGCTTACTGGTGGTGCTGGGCTATCCTTAGTGTTTCTTCTCTTGCATAAAAGTAATAAATTACAGAAAACATACACACCCAGAAATAAAGGCAAATGTACCCAGCATTCAATACCATTGCTGTTATTATTCCTAGACCTTCTCTAGTTAGTCTTTCAGGAGGAAAATAGTCATAAAGCTACAGAACGTGTCACGTTATGAGACTGTCTAACATCATAGGTGCATTTCCATCACCTTAGACCTGCGGCCATCTGGGTGGATAGGGAGCCACGCCTGGGGCCTGTCCATGGCTCATGATGGAGCTCCTGCTGGTCCCTCCAGGCTCTGCCGGTCCCTACTCTCTGCAGATCCCCTATGTGCCTGCTGCTGTGATAGATAGTGGCCACGGGCTCTCTGACTGTGGCTCTTCTAGTCAGTCATGGGCTAGGGTGGCCCTGGGGACCCCAAAATAGCTGCTCTCAAAGAAGCCACAGGACTGGATTTCTAGAAATGAAGCCCTGAGTCCTGGGTGGTAGGTGGCTGCCTTACAATACAAATTGAATGTATACTTTCTTGGGTTTTTGTTTAAATGTAGGACACTGTTTGGGAAAGAATGAGTCCTTACTCATTGGGATGGGGACACTAGGGAGATTAGGATAAAGCTGGGAGTCCTGATTTCAGAACACACAGGTGAGACTTTCCTGGCTTCCTTGAAGAGCTCTGGAAAGCAGGAGTGACAAAAGAGAGTTCCCGTGGACGTGGTGCATTTGTGGTGTGTCGGGACTCAAGGGCAGGGTCAGCAGGCCACATTTACCTGGGTAGATAGGTGGGCACTGTTGTGCAGTGGCAGAGGCTGACCTGGAGCCTCCCAGGGCTGGGACCACGTCATGGCCTTCAGGAGCCTGTGTGAGCTGTGAAGCTCTGGTCTGGAGATGGGGTGCAGCCTGACCCCCACTTCCTGCCCGCAATTCGGCTCAGCAGGTGTCCTGTGGGTCCAGCCCAACCAGGAGCTGCAGTGGCTTCCAGGGGAGCCTTGCTTGCTTGTCACCTGAGGCAGCTCTCAGTTACTGGGTCTCTCTCCAGCCCCAATATCAGACCAAGAAATTCTCTCCTGGAGGAGAATAACTGGGTTTGTTTCAAGCACTGACATTGAATTCAGTCCTGAGGATTTCAGCCCTGGCCCATGCAGAAATGTTTTCCTCTCAACTGGATCTTTGGATCCTGTGCCTCTGCTGGCCAGCAGGGTGACAGAAGCCCACAGGGATTGGGCTGGGAATGGAGTATTCAGTCTGGCGGTGGCTCAGGCAGGTGACACTCCCTTCCTGGTCCCCAGTGCTCCTATAAAGAGCAGCCTTGGAGCTGGCAGCAACACCCTGCAGGCTGCACGGCTGGGCTGAGTGACTGTGGTGAGGTCCCTCTGGACAGCGAGGCTGTTCCTGGGTGGATGTGCACAGTGAGAACGAAGTCTCTTAAGGCGTCGGAAGTAAGTATGGCCAGTGGGGGTGGGTGTGTGGGTGTCCCTCAGACACAGAGGGAAACTGCTAGCACACTGACCTCCCGAGGGTCACCCGCTGGGGCAGGCAGAGGAGGCTGGCTGGGACCTGGTGGTCTCAGCACTGTGGGTCCCTACTGCAGGTGGACCCGAGCGCACTGCACCTGGGGAAGATGCAGGCCTGCGTGGTGCCGGGGCTGGCCCTGTGCCTTCTGCTGGGGTCACTCACAGGTGAGGGTCCACCCTGTCCCCACAGCCCTGCTGCCTTCCACCCTGCTGCACTAGCCCTCCTGCATGGAGTTTAGGGCCTGGGGGCCTTCCAGAGTGGCCCCAGGTGACAACGTTCCTCTTCTCTTACAGGGGCCAAGCCAGTGCAGGAGGAAGGTAGGGTGCTCTCCTGTGTGTCCTTTCACTAATAATCAACCCAGGTGGGGGGGGGCAGAGGCTGCTGGGAGGTGGGCCTGGCTGCCTGCTGAGCTGTGCCTGCTGGGAGCCAAGGGGTAGGGGTAGCACTGCCATTCTCATCCTTAGCCGTAGGCTCAGCCCTGGGCTCTCCCAAAGTTCTAACTCAGTCCAGTATCATTGGGATGGTCATTGTCCAAGTTCTGGGTCTCTGTCCTCTGAAACCCCACCAGATGCTGCCCTAGCTCCCCCATGCCCTCCACACGCACTGTCCCTACTCAGCATTTCCTCTGGCAAGGCCAGGCGTCCTCCTCTCAGCCTTGCCTTGCTTCCTCTCCTTCCTCCTCCTGTTTTTTAGGCCTTGCTTCTCTCTGTTCTGGGAATGACCCCAGATAGCCCTTCTCCAAACCAGGAAGGTCACCTCCCCACAGGCACTACTGGCTGCCATGCACCTGCCCCCAGTCTGTGGAGGCCCAGCCCTGGGCAGGACTGTGGGGCACACCCTGAGAAGGCATCCTATGTTTTCCAGACCCCTACGCTGAGGCACCAGCTATGCCCTACTGGCCTTTCTCCACCTCTGACTTCTGGAACTACGTGCAGTACTTCCAGACCCAGGGCGCCTACCCCCAGGTGGAGGACCTGGCCCGCACCTTCTTTGCACACTTTCCTCTGGGGAGCATCCTGGGCTTCCATGTCCCCTACCAGGAGGACTGAGTGGCACTGGCTGCACCTCAGGGCAGATCCGGAGTTGCCAGAGCCACTGGAGGGGGGACTGGCCTCTGCCCCACAGGCTCCAGCAGACCTTGTGGGTTTCTTTCAAAAATAACTGTGCCCAGCCCCTCTGCTACTTCACAGGTGAACCTGGCTTTATTCTTCATTAAATGTGTGCAGTTCCAGCCTACAGGGCATCAGCACCTCTCCTCCTGTTTTCATGATGACCCTGGGGGGCCGGGATGAAGCTCCCCAGACTGTGGTGAGGAAACTGAGGCTGACTAGCTGTGGCTACCGCAGCTGGTTAGAGGAGCCAGTGCCAGTTCAGGCAATCCGGCCCAAGGTCACAGAAGTAGACAGTAGTCACTTTGGGCCAGGCGTCCATGCTTCATGCACAGCTCACATCTTGGAGCAGCAGGAAGTGAAGAAGGCAGGGCCCTGGCTGTCACCTGAGCAGTCTGAAGGAGGAAGGATGTGTGCTGATGGCAGCGTCGGTGCAGGTGGTGAGCCTCCCCCAAGGTGTGCAAAGCACAGGGAGACTGACTCACACCTGCTATGGAAGAAACCAAATGGGCAGCTCTTCTGGGCCACCAGCCTATGGGTTCCCTAGGTCTGACCTTCCCTTGGTGCCCAGGTGACACGCATTGACCTGGCCTCTGAGCCTCACCTGGGTCTTCATTGCTGTCTTCTCTCTGTGCCCTGCACCACCTGCTCAGACCGGGCTGACCCTGCCCAGCCACAACCCCCATCTTGGCTTCACTCTGTTGGTCTGTCCTGCTCCTCAGCCCTGCCCCTCGGCACCCTTGTCCCCTTCCAGCAGCCCTGCGCCAAGCCCACTTCCTACTGAAGGAAGAAAACATGTTACAGAAAACATGGAGCAAACACACTAGAAGGGCAGGGTATGGAAGTCTGTGCGGGACCACTGGGATAGGCACAGGGTGCACCTCAATGAGATGTGGGGGAGACTGGGCTCAGCCCGGCAGTTTGGGCCTCAGAGGATCAACAGTGAAGAGTAGGGTGGGCTTGGGGGAGGAGGAGGACTCAGTGACCCAGGGCAACGTGGTGGGGAGGCAGTGGTCCTGATAAACCAGCTGGCAGGACTCTCGCTGAAAGCAGGCCAGGGTGTTCCACAGGTGATCTGATCTCAGGGTAGGGCTTCTGTAAGAGCTCTGGCAACTCTTGATCTTACAAAGCTGGGCACCTGGCCTTGGTTCACAGCCGGACCACAGTCCCGTTAACCAGAAAGCATTTGTCTTCAGCTCCAATTCTCCATTCCTTTCTTACCATCTTCTTCCTCTTTTCTTCCCCTTTCTTATTTATATTTTAAAAATCACTGTGAAATACTACAATATAAAATTTCCCCTTTAACCTGAACATTTAGGTGGTGTTAAATACATCACCTGGTTGTGCAACCACCACCCCATCCATCTCCAGAACCTTTTCACCCTACAGAACTGAGCCTCTGATAACACTAACTGCAGATCCCATCAGACACTAGCCCCACCCTTGCCCCGGCACCACTATGTGCCTAGGGAGCTGTCTATGAACTGCCTACTCTGGGTCGGGAGCTCATACTGGTGGGATCAGACAGTCTGGCCTTGCAGGGGCTGACCTATTCCACTGAGCATGTCCCCAGGAGCTCCTCTGCTCTGCCCACGAGTCAGGATTTCCGTACCCCCGGGGCCTCAGCAGTGTCGCAGGATGTGCACGGACCCCGTGTTTACCCACCCACCCACTGGTGGATACCGGTTGTTTGCAGCCTTTGGCTGTTGGGAACAGTGAGCCTGGGTGTATCGGCTCCTCCTCCAGACCCTGTTTTCTATTCTTTTGGGGTGGTCCAGAAGTGGGGTGCTTTCCCGAGGTACTGACCTAGCCACCCTCTCCGGGCTCTGCTGCTCCCTGGGTTAGGGACAGCAGGGGTCGCCTTGGCACGTAGGCGCAGCTCAGGCGCAGTGCCGCGCAGATACGCAGGAATCAGCCGGCAGCCTGGGATCTGAGGTCCCAGTTAGCTGCAGGAAAACCACCGAGTCGCGGTCCTCCAAGGCCTAAATCTGTCCGGCGGGAGCGCGCCGGAAATGAAGTCGCGAGCCGGAAGTGAGTATAGAGCGGCGGGTCAGCGATGAAGCCGGCTGTGGACGAGATGTTCCCTGAGGGTGCCGGGCCTTACGTGGACCTG